CATTTTTGGTAGTAGTAGTGTTCTCTCTCTCTTTCTCTCTTTGTGTACGAATAATGAAGTCTAAATTTCATGAAATCAACTGTTCTATTTTAACTTATTTAAATGTATAGACTAGTTTACCAAGGAGTTCATGAGTGACAGACTGAACCTGTTATGGATGTATTGATCTTATTCTCCCTGGACAAAACTTTTAATGTTTTGCAAGCACAAAGTATTAAACAAACACACTGGTCGTTGAGCAGAAAATATAAGGAGCGATGCGAATGGACGATAATGCAAGGGGTAACGGTAAAATAAAATTAACTTTGTGTGCGATAGTTAAAAAAATCCGGTAGCAGTTTAGAATCAATTATGACAATCGATAGGAGGGTGGATTTGTTGAACGCTTTTTTTGCCGTCTTTTGATCAGGTTGTGCCAGGAGAGCTGACCATAGTAACTGGAGTGCCAAATTCAGGCAAGAGTGAGTGGATTGATGCACTTTTATGCAATCTTAATGAAAGGGTTGGTTGGAAATTTGCACTTTGCTCGATGGAGAACAAGGTATGCCACCTCACAGTGAATCCAAGTTTGCATGTGATCTTTTTTTCTTGGAGCCTTTTGTTTTTGGCTTGTTGCTAAGTGGACACTGTTGGCATGGCCTATTAAAAGATTTATGTTGATTTGAAATCTTTTTTTTTTCCTGATTCAAAAATCCTATGGCTGAAGAATGAAGTGTAGTGTTACAGATGTTCCATTTTGGTTTTGACTTGACATATTGCGGTACAAAAATCGACGGACACTTTTTTTTTTTTTTTTGGGGGGGGGTGATAAAGTGGGTTTTACCAATAGCACTTTCTTATTAGTATTGGTGGAACTAGATCTTAACATGAATTTTTCATCATGTTCATTTACGTTTGTGTGTGGTAGCCTTTCTGGTAATTTCACAATAAAAAGTATCTTTTGACGGATTTTATGTATCTTGGTAAGTTTTACTGACATCTCTTGAGTTTTGTGAAACAATATGACTACACATTGGCAATCCAGAGATGACTTATATATATCATAGTTCATACGTATTAATAGTAGTTGTTAATGAAATGACCAATTTATCCTCCTTTATTAGCAAATCAATGAAAGCAGGGACAAATATGAATTTTTATTTTAGCTTAATTGTTGCGGATTTTATCTTGGAAGGAGTGTCTCTGTTACAACACTAAAAACTCAAAAACTCGGGGGATCCATGTGTCATGTGTGACAATTTAAGAGGTCTCCTGTACTTTTTCAAAACCCATAGGATGTGAATGTAATGTACCCTATTTTCTTTTTATAAATGCTCATTTTATAGGTGTCTTATTAAATTTTCTTCTCTCCTTATATATACATGTGTGCATTTATATGTTTGTGTGTATGGATGTATGTATGTGTATGTTCATTCATATATATGTGTGCGTGTGTGCAGCTCAGACCGTGGGTTTGATGGGTTGGTCATGTCGCCTGTGGCTTGGTTTGGATAATATAGTAACTGCCCCAATTTGTTGGCCAATGGGGAGGGCTTGGGCCTAGTACGGAGCTAGGGCATGGGCTTGAGCCAGAGGTGGTGATTGGCTCGGACTGGTCTGAACAATAGCTTTTGAATAAAATTACTTTATTTTATTTACCTTTTATTTACTTAGTTTTTAGAATAATTTCTATGTATAAAAAGTATTTGTTAAATTTACAAACATTTTAAAACAAAAAGTAGTGGGCCTTGGTACAGGGTCTGGTCAGTATATCCTGGCCTTGAGTCCGGCCCAACCAGACCAAGAGCATCAGGATGCTCTTATTTTGATTGGCCTGGCCCATGGAAAGCCCTTTGTGTTTGTGGTCAACAATATTGGATAGTAAATAGGAGGCAAATCAGGTAGAATTTGCGGGTTTTGTTTGTGCCATAAAGACTTCTGGGGACTAGCTCTGATTTAGGTTCAGTTTCCCATCCTAAATGCACTAATTTTTTTTTTTTAGTTTTTTCTCATCGGTAAAAGATTCCAAAAAAAAAAGCATACTTCTATATTGAAAAAGCATATTCGTAAAAATATTTGGAAACGGAAGGGATAATGGGCAACGTTAAAAACTTTTTCGTTAGGGAAATCTCTTTTGAGTGGAAATTCAAAAAGTTTTTTTGTGCAACAAACAAATAAGTAATAAAACATTAGAGTAATTTGAATTGATTTGACTCGAAAAAAGTTCCATTTAAAAAAAAAGTATTTTTGGGGTTTCTGAATAGGAAGGGGGGAGTCGACTGAACATCTCAGCCATTGGAGGAATTTCGCCGGCATCCGATTCTCAATTCTTGTTCACCCCGGATGATCGTGTTGGGTGAATTGTGACCTCGTACGATTGTGTCGGGTGAGCAATAGTCGCTTCGTCACGATACTTATGGGCTAATGGGTCACAGGAAAAAAAATTTACTCTTTGACTAAGACTATTCTAGACCTCTAAAGACTCCATATTAGACCCAAATGACGTCAATTGACTCATTCGACCTATTGATCGTGGCAACAACTCATGTCTAGAAAATCTTGAAACTCCTATAATTCTCTTATCAACTAAAATTTGATAAGAGAATAGACCAGCATGGTACCAACTTACAACCAGCATAGACTGAAATCTATTCATTTCCGAGGTTAGATTTATGATGTCTCTTGTGTTCTCCCCCTCTCTTGTTTGCATACTTTGCATCAAAGGGATTGTGGGGCAATTGAATATGCTTGATGCTTTGGCTTCTAATAGCAGGATAGCTCTATGGGATAAACAGATTTGCTGGTACAGTCTATAGGACGATGGAGTATCTTTTTACTGCCCATCTTTCACCCCTTTAATTGGATTGCAGTGGGAACTCGAGAATCATGATTACAAGCCAGCATGATAGAATATTCATTGAGGTGTTCTTAATTCATATGTGTTAGGTTTAATGAAGAAGTACGTTTTTTTTCTCTTTTTCTTTTACCCCCTTGGTCCATGGCTGATACTGTTGGGTTCTTACTCTAGTGCTTTGTTGTTTGTAACAGAGTTGAATGTGCCCAAGTATGCTTGATATTGTTGTGTAGTGATGCAACTTGTCACCTTGAATACTTTGCATGTTGATCATGCTTATTATCTGATCTATAATCTATGTATCTGATTCATAATCTATGTCTCTGATTCATAAGCTATGGTTGTTAGTCCAAAGCTTTGTTTTAGTTCAAATGTTAGTATAAAGGCATACTATCATCATCATATGTTTACTTCATCCAATATTCCTTTTTTCCCCTTTTTGTTAGTGGAGGTTGGGATGGAGAATGCTTTGGCATATACCTATGAGTGGAGACGTTATGATGATGTTTGGGAATGTCTAGCTACTGGGCAGTGGTTATGCTACCCTTTCACTCCTCTCACTGTCTCAAAAGTAGGGGGACAAACACAAAGTAATGGCCTAAAGAAGTACAAGTAACATTCTTTTACCTTCTATGACAGGAAAAAAATAAGTACAAATAACATTGCATGTGGCCTAGGTACCCCAGACAATCTGTATGCTGCTTCTTATGTTTCCTTTATTATTTAATTCCTTACGTCTTAGTTGCATTGGAAATACTTCGAATTCAATTGAATGCATGTTGGTAAATGTTGTGCAGTATGCCAAGATTTATAGCTAATGATTCAACTCATGGACAGGATATCTGATACAAGAAATTCTTAAAATGTGGTCACAGAGAGATGACTAGATATGTCTGTATTTGCCACACATCACGTGTAGTGCTTTCATTTATTTCTACTGTAGTGTCCCAATTGACCTTGGTGGAAACTTCCTCTTGCCTCAATTAGTGGGTTGTAATTAATCCTTGATCCATTTATGTATTTTAATTCCCTTGAGCATGGCTGTCAAAAAGCTCAAATAAGTCTGGAGTCTCCTGATAGAGCTTCTTTCTGTGCCCAGTTTCCTTTGAACAGCTTTATATGCCCAGTTGGTAACCCACTTTTTTTTTTTTTTTTGGGTGACAAGAAACATGATGTTATTAACTTGAAGAAATTCCAGACAAGGTGGTTACGAAATCTAACCATTACACAATAAGGAAAGTAAACAGAACTGCAAGAGAAAGCCACAACGCTAACCCCCTATTAATCTCAACTGCATTCCTGTTTTGCTGAACACAAAATTGTAGAATTTTTTATACGAAATTGCTGGATTGAAATCATTGCTAGAATTTTTGAGGTAAGAGATGAGTTAGGGGGGTTAGTTTGGGAAAGAGTCAAGTTCTTGGCTTCTCTTTGGGCATCAGTTATCAAAGATTTGCGGGACTTTGTAGTTGATAACCTACTAAGCATATGCTCCTGGTTTAGCTTACTGTTGCCAGCCTGCAGCCAGTGTGTACTTCAAAGATGGAATTCATAAAGGGTGGCCATACAGATAATCCTCACTTTACCCTCTAGAATTGGCTGCTTGCCACAAGAACACAATCAAATTTTTTATTCCGAGGGGATTGTTTTACTTACTTACTAAAAGAGCGATTTTGGGGTGGATTATCCATAGGAAGGGAGAGATTGGAAACGGTGTGAATCATAGAATTAAAACAGGGTGGGCTAAATGAAGAGTTCATTTTCTGGCATGTTTGCTTTACAATACAAACTGTAGGGCAATTAGGAAACATGATGTTCAAAAACTAAGTGTTGCAGAAATAATGATGTTAAGATAGCTGTGGTAAAACAAGAAAAGATAAAACTAAGTAAAACGGTAGAAGCGACATCAATAAGAGACAAATTAAGAGATTTGACTTGGATTGTATGGATATGTTTATAGAAAGAAGACTTAATAATACACCAATGAGGAAGAGTGATTTAAAACATCTCAATTATATTGCAAGAGGTAGAGGTAGACTGAAAGTAACTTCGAACGAAATAGTAAAAAAAAAATATAGCTCATTGGCCCTTGATAGAGTATAATGGGGAAATACCCCAAATAATTGGGTATAATAGCTTTGTTGAGCTTAGTTGAGTTCTACAAATAATGCATGAATATGTACGTAGAGGATCTAAAGTGCGCTATCAGGTAGAAATTGACATCTGTTGTGTTATATTTTTATTATCTATGCTTTTACTTTTTTTCCTTGGGGATTGAATTTGTGTGGAAGAACTATAGGGCGTGGACATTTATGTTGCATTTTTGACTTTGCATATTCTTTTAGTTTACAGAATTGACCAAGTGTTGAAAACTGTGAGACAAGTTCTTTCTGACATGTTGATTGGCGATTGCCAACGTGGAGAAGTCTTCACATGTCATCAGCTATGTGTTTCTCATAAATGTTATGCTCTAAAACTACTATTGACATTTTCACCTTGGAAATTATGTATTGTGATTGTTGTTAACTAATCCAGACAGTGGATGTTGTCGTGCATATTGTTAGAATCAAGGATTGAAATACCTTAGAAACCTGTTTCTATTATGCCAATCACATTCATTCTGCTGATTTGTAGGTTCGGGATCATGCTAGGAAGCTTTTGGAGAAACATATAAAGAAACCTTTCTTTGATGTGAGGTAGGTTTGTTTAGGAGTAGTTGTTGAGTATTTTCATTTGGGACTTCTGTTGTTTCCATTTTTATGTGGGAGACGTTTCACGGATATACCACAATAGAGTGGCATAAAGCCCCTTGCTTGCTTCCTCAATTAATTTAGGACTCTGGTCTGGTTATTGAGTGGAAGAGGGTGGTATAGCATATTTATGTAATATGTGATGATATAACCTTTGAAACAAAGGTTAGAGAAACCAGTTCACTTAGATTTGGAAAATCCTGGAGAGAGTGGAAAACATCAAATTGAACACAAAGCAGCCTAATCTCACCACCCTGTTGTACAGCTATTTCTCTCCATCCTTGGGAGCCCCCCACAGTTACTCACAGAAAACTGACTGTATATGGACATAATCAAATTCCGCCTGGTGTGCATATGCTGTCATTACATAACTTGATTACGTTCTTGGGAAAACCTCCTCATTGTTCCTGTGTTTGATTCGATACTCATCTCATGCACCACATGCCTGCTTTATTTTCATATGATTCAGTATAGGTAGCCATCAAGCAATGAACGTATTTGTTGTCATCTACGGAAGTCTGAAGTCTTACATGAATTGAACTGTCTTCGTTGATGAATATGTGAACCATATAGAGACTGCAATTTGCCTAGAAAAAATAAACCTCACTAGTGTGTTCAAAACCTTGCAACATGCCAAATTAAACCTATAACATCAGTGCTGTAACTCACTGCCATGCTTCCACAATTGTCATGCTCAACAAATCCCATCGTAGGAAGCTTCCATTCTGGTGTAGCATCAGTACTCCAACTGTGCTTGTTATGACTGATATATTTGTTTTTGCTTATCCTGGATAATCATAGATATGGAGAATCTGTCGAACGGATGAGTGTTGAGGATTTAGAGCGAGGAAAGCAGTGGTTAAGTGATACTTTCTATCTCATACGGTAAGTTAAAATTTTTTTGAGTTGGCATGGTTTTGATAAAAATATTTCCATGGCAATTCTTCGTGCTGTAAAACTATAATAATATGGTCCCATTCTGTAATTCATCTTATGCTAATGATGCAGTGAGACTCTGAACCTATTATGCACCATCAAGGCTATTTTTTGTTTGTTTGTTTATGGTTGAATATCAAAGCTATAGATTTACGGGCTTTTGCCTGTCCTTGGTAACTTAAATTGATTTCACTGGAATAATGATCTGGAATGCAATTTGTCTTGTAAAAAGCTGCTTTTGCTTGGCGCAATTAAACTTGAGGTTGTGGTCTTGTCTTAATAAAATAACTGTTGCTTGAAGCCAAGGTAACATCTTTAATTCAATTATGTTGAACCCTACTTCTGATTTCTAAAAGTTGTTATAAATATAATGGTTAACAGAAACATACCTCCTAAGGTTTCAATCAAACGGCGAGAGTCCTCCTTCATGCTTGAACATACACAATAACCTCTTTGGCTGCCAAAATAATTAGTGAAATCTCCCCTCTTGTCACGTTTGTTGAAATTCATTAGCGATGATGTCATCATTATCAGAAAAATCATTGTAGTTTTCTTGACCCCATACTTCTGTTTCTCCAAGGTACTATAAATAGGAAGGTTCAACCCCAATTTACCTCCTAATTTTTCAATCAAATAGCAAATTCCTCATTCATGTTTGGATATGTACAAAATCCTCTCTTTACCACAAAAATAATTAGTGAGTTCTCCCTCTTGTCACCCTTTGTTTAAATCCATTAGTGATGCCACCATACTTATTAGTACTATCCCAAACAAGCCCTCCCCTTTAATTAAATGTCATAATACACAAGTTTTAATAAATCCCAAAAAGGTATTTCCTTCACTTAAATAGCATATATACCTTTATATTACACAGTGCACAGAATAGTACTTGATGTACGGTTGTCTTGCAATACTACGTCATTATCAATCGTATAAGGACACATGCAACTTCCATTTCACAAAACTATGCTCAATTTTCCATGACAAGAAAATGTTAGGAAATGATGGTGTATTTGTCAATTTACAATTTGGTTTTAGGATCTAAAAATTCAAAACATATTGCATACAATATCTTGTAATTCTGTTACAATTCACCAAAACCTGTGGCATACATTTTCGGTATTTTATTTCCTGCATAACATAAACTAGTCATTTCCTAATGAAATCTTCTCTTACACTGATTTGATTTTAATCCTAAGAGAAATTGTTTTGTTTATCCAATTTGATTTTCTTATTTTAATTGGACATGGTGGTGGATGGTTGTGTTTGAAGTAAGATGAATAAGAGAAGTTGAATTCTAGGGAGGGGTGGATAACAATGCCCAGGATAATTAAAAATGAGAATATTGTAGGCTTATTATGTAATCATCCCCTAATTTATTTGACACTAACAGTTCTTCGTGACATGATAGGCATCTGCAAAGCACAATTGAACTAGAAAGGAATGCAGTGTAATTTTAAATAAGGCGAGTAGTTTCCTTGTAATTAGCCTTGATATGGCAGCATTGTTTTGCCTTTCTTAGAAATTTTTCTTTCTTTTCCAACTCGCTTGGGATTTGTATTTGAAAGCTGAGTAGAAATGGGTAAGAAAAGCAAGAAGGGAATCCTTGTTCATTGGAAAGGTGGGAGTTTGTTCTCTTTAATCAAATCAATCTAATTTTAAACTAGTCGTCCCCATAGATTATAGATTTAGACAAAGCTCATAGGGTCAACCTACTTAGAGAGGAATAAGGAAGAAAATATTGAAATAAAGCATTCGATAATGAGAAATTGAAATCTTTCCACCATGGTTACCTTCACTTTGGGTATAAGTTAACATAGTTATTAGTATCGTACGATACGTGATACGTATTGCACGATATGTATCGTACTATACACTTGAAAAACGATACGTATCATGTTTCCGTATTGTTTTTGCACCGTATCGTACGATACACGATATGCACAATATGGTAAGCCTGATACGTACGATAAGTGACGATTCTGTTTTTTAATTTTTAATTTTTTTGTTTTTTGGAGTTAAAATGACATTGTTTTACCGTAGGACTTATTTTTAAATTACTACCTAGTGAAACAACGTCATTTCTGTGGTTATTGTTTAAAAAAAATAAATAAAGTCTAATGTTAATGTTGTTTAATTGAATTCAAAATTCCTGATTAATATTAAAGTTGTTCAAGCAATTGATGTTAGGAGTTTGAATTAGAGGTCTTTGCATTTTGATATTACTGAACTATGTTGGAAACTTGAACAGTTGGTAGAATAATAATGAAATATTATATTATTATGAGTCTATGACTTTTTTTTAAAGATATATACATATATTTTATTAATAATTATTTAAAAATTAAAATTACGCGTACACAATATACGATACGATACGACACACTAGTTTAAAAAAATGATACGCCTTTCGATGCACGATTTGATAACTATGTAAGTTTAATTGAAAAGTTTTAAGAATTAGAGAAGGAGAAAGACACTTGGAGAACAGAAAAAGAAATAAGAGAGAAAAGACTATGTGAAGGGTAGTGGGTTAGGTCTCAAAACTAAACCCCCGCTTACACATAAACGCAACACCTCTCGAATTACTGCATAGACATCCCTCTTGCCGAATTTGCAAGCTATATATTAAACATCTTGTCCTCAGTTGAATACATCGGCCAACACAAAGGGCATGCAAATCAAATCATGGTTTAGAATTTAGATTTTTCATAATGAAGTGTTGGATCAAAATATCGCTTCGAAACAGTCAAAACGTTCGAAAGTTTCCGTTTTCAAGGAGACTGAAACGAATCAGTGATGGAATTGAAATTCTAATACTTCGAGGTATTCTATAATATTTCGAAATATTATATTTCAGTGTATTTGTACAATTATTTTAGAATGTTTCAAAGTATTTCAAGATATTTTAGTATATTTTGACTAATATTTTGAGAAATTTTTTTTTAAATTTTTTATGTTTTTCATTCTATTTTTGAAACAGGTTGAAATGTTTCCGAAACACATCGAAATACTTCTATTTCCTAAGTGACCGAAACAATATACCGAAACAAAATATTAATCTTGAGTCAATCTCAACATTATTGGTTCTAGCTTCCTAAACTATATCATCTGTAATATTGGTCGTGGCCTTATTATTAAGTTGTGCTTAGCAAAAGAACTTCCTAAGCATACTTTTTTGGATACAAACTTATTTATTCTTTCGAAGTCGCCTTTTTGCATGGAAGAACCTGACTATTTTAAAAATCGTGGTTTTGGTAGTAGGTGGCATCGCTCTTAGTTTTCAGTATTAGGAACCATTCTGTTTTGGTTTTTGTCTACATTCTTAATGGTGATCTAAGAATTTGCCTATTATTTCTTCAATTGATATTTTGATATAGAAATATCTCCTTATTTTTTCATTGCGGGTTCTTGCATCATTCTCTTGAGAATATATTATATCACCGTTGGACACTTTAAAATGATTAATGTTTGTCATTTCATTATTCAAACAAACCCTTCAATAACTTACCAGTTGCCTTGCTTGAGGAATCACGATGTAGGCTTATAAGTCCATTATCATGAATTCCTAGCTCTCCTAGCAAGATTTGGAACCACCTAAGCTTATAAATTCCATGAGTCGTCGTTGTGTAGTCAATCACTACACTAGACCTAGCTACCATTGCATGTTTTTTGCTATCTTAATTGACAAGATTAAATATATGCAGTAGGCTGAATTAGATCATCTTCCATCCACTGAACTTGCCTCGTCTGAGTCAGGATGTCTAGCTTCAAGTGATCATGATTGGAGAACATGATCCCTCTTATTCAAGTTGACTTGAGATATTTTGCCCAATTAGAATGGAGTAACTTGTGCACATTGTAGTATACTATTTGTTATTATATTTCTTCTCCCCTATGAAGCACAGATACTTCGTTGAAGTTGATGTACCTGTATCGGATACGATATTTGTCGGATACTCGAAGATACGTATCAGATACACCTTTTACGTATTCGATAATAATTAAATATTAGGGTCCTTCATGGATACTTTTGTAGTAGAACAACATATATAATTTGTTAGTTGAACTTTTAATATCTCTTTTCGAATTCACATACTATACAATAAAGTAACCAAAATTTCATATTACTTCAAAGGCACATGAATTTTTTAAGTATTATTTGCAATTACATGTCAAAAGAGCATAAAATAAAGCTATTACATTATAATCTTAGCAAAAATAACTTATAAATACTAGGTAAATATTAACTTTGATTCCTTTAATTAGTCATTTCACTTTGTGAATATACCACGGCGACACGTTTTATATTTTCTTGATTAAAAAAGAATTACTAATTTTTCTTATTATATGTTGAAGAACTACCAAAATATAAAAGTGTTACGTTGGTTGAAAATAATATTTATAGCTGTATCTTGCCCGTACCCATATTCTACTTTTTTAGATTTTTTCGTATCCGTATCGTATTATACCCGTATCCCGTATCCGTATCCGTGCTTCATAGCTCCTCCCTTTCTAGTTCTCATTGTTATTTCATTTATACGAAGCGGTGTGTGAGGATTGTTTTTGATGCTGTTGGTTGCTGAGGTTTATCCACCTTATTGCTACTTTGAATTAGCCTGCATGTGGCTTGTGGTTTGTTTAATTTTCATTTCATGCCTTCTTAGGGTTGCAAATTTTGTAAGCAATGGGTTATGGAACAGGTGTGAGAATGATAGCCTTCCAAGTATAAAATGGGTTCTTGGGCTTGCAAAGGCTGCAGTCTTAAGACATGGGGTGCATGGAATAGTGATTGATCCATACAACGAGCTCGATCATCAGCGTCCAGTAAGCCAGTGAGTCAGCTTACCCTTTCTTTCTTTTGCTTTGTTTTTTTATGACAAGTATTACACATGCTACCACGTCCAAACAGGATTTGAACCCTGCACTTCTCCAATGAGGCTGGGAAGAGACTTAAGATAACAGCCAGTGGTTATCTCATAGATGTCTTCAGTCCTGAATTTATTTATTTTATTGTGTGAAAACTAAGTTTGCAAGTGTCTTAATAAGTGATTTGTGTCATGTTGAAGTTTGGGTATCCTGATAAATAGGTCAATCCCTACACCTCATGATTAACCAATTGTGTCAAAATCTTTCACCCTGAAACAATCTATTTGGTACATGGGTGACACGACATGACCCATGTAACTTTTTTAATTATTAGGTCATGTTGAGTTAGTCAGTTTTCACCGGTTAGAATGATTATATTCTTAAGTGATAAAATACAGAATACTAATATACACCAAAAATATAGGACAGATGACGAAAATGTGTAATCCAAATCAGGAGTTAGATTCGCATCACGGTCGTATCATGTTCGTATCATAAGGTGTCAGTCACACTAATGGTAAAGACCTGAACAAGAGGCTCTTTCTTTTTTCCTCTCAAGATTTTGAGGATTTAATCAAAACTCATAAGAGGAATGCTTTTGAGGTATGAAATCTTCATACTCCATTGTTGTGGCACCGCAAGAGAAACCCTTACTAAACCTGGTGGCTTTGTTCTTCATCTCCACCTCCATTGCAAGCACACCACACACTGGTAAAATCTTGATTCTCCTTGAATATAAGATAGTTGTTCAATGCTGCAGCCATGCCATAATATTCTGTCACACCTGAAAATTAATTGATAAAAAAAATAAGGGCAAAATATAGTAATAGGATCTCAAATATACGTCACGATCATATCGTGTTCGTATCATAAGTGTCAGTCGGACAAATGGTAAAGACCTGAGCACAAACACCTATAATGACGCTAACTTGAATATGACACAAACATGATTTGCCTCAACATAACCCTGATAGCACTGTTCAAGTCATGTTAACGGGTCAACTACCAAATTGTCACCTTAAGAGTAAGTCTAATGGTAGGCTATTTGTTAGGCCAATGCCGAAATTAGTATGATTAGCAAAGCAACAACCTCCAATAGTGTGCTATTCGTCATGCCAAATTAGCCTGACAAATGACATATGCGAAAATCTGACAAGACAAATGTTTGACCACTAATCCCCTTTACTTTTTTTGCACTCACAAAAATGCCACATTATCTACTTATAATTTATTTTTGTATTCTATGGTGACTTTCAACTAAATTAATAAACTATTTGTTGAACCACCAATTATCACATTAAAATAGGTTTTTTATTGATGCTGCAGATACACACACACACACTTGCTAGCTTACCAAGCCATCCTGGCCAGCTCCTCCAGTTTAATTGTTATTACTGACTTGATATGTCTGCTATCAAACAATGTAGGCAGGATAGATTGTGTGTTCCCTTCCCCTTCTCGACCAATACTCAACCTTGATCTCTTTGTTAGGACTAAACGTGTTCAATAAATCTTTATGGAGCATTGTGCCAAGAATGACAGTTTTTAAATGCACCATTGGGGCGTTTATGACAAAATATTGTGTTTTGGCTCTGCATTATGCCAAACTATAGCATTGGCACGCAATAAAGCACAAATTATTCAGCTTTCCCTTATTGAGCACCTCTTTAATTTGTTTAAATCCTCTCCCCAAAATCCCGATGTCTTCACATCCAAATGAAATATAAAATGTTACATCTTTTGCTCAGCTTGAGAATTGCGTGACATTTTGACATTGTATATTTTTTATTGACTAGCAATGCATGACGTGTGTTGCACGTGAAAATTTTTGTTGAAACATTTGACAAAATACAATTTATGTAGCTACATTAGATATTATATCATACTTATCATACTTAAATTTTTTATATTCTCTTCATAACTATAAACATTCAATGGACTTATTTTCTGTGATTCTTTCATTCGAACTATTAAGTAATAAGGTTTATAAATTTTCCTTTTCTCAATTATTTTTTTTATTCTTGTCTTTCTTGTTTTTACTTTATGTATCAGTAATTTTTTATGAAGTTATTTTGATTGTGAATAAAGAGATAAGATAAATATAATCATTTTAAGGCATTGGAGATGATAGTGTATCAATGAAGTTGTTAACATGTATTAATATTAGAATTTTTGAAAAAAAAATATTATTTTTATATATCATATTAATCATAACATGACCATCTAAAAGTTTTGCAAAAAAATAGAGATTTACATGATATGTTAGAGATTAGTTTGTTATTTAAATGAAAGGGATATAATTATAATTTATATATTTAAATACAAAAAGACACGCTAGTCTTTATAGTTTTTTATAAGGGCAAAATAGTAAATTAAAATTTTTCATGTTAAAGTACTTTTATTAATAGTATAGATAAGAAACAAAACCTTCATTCATTAAATAAAGGTTTACATAATGGGTGGACAAAATATCCAATCAATAATGGTCCAAAAAAGGGTGTTACATCAAAAGAAAAATAATATAATCCTATGTCACCACGAGAACTCCCCTATCTACATGCAAGCTATCCTATCCAATCATAGTAAGAAAGTAAAAAGGCACATCCTTGAACTCTTTTGCCGTCGAAGCCCACGAGGATTCCAAATACTTGGTTTATCCCAAAGAAACTCCATCCTTTCTTCTCTAGCTTCAAAAATTATGTTATTTCTTTCCAACCAAACCACCCATAAGATTGTCATGACTACTCATTTCCATAAAATGGATGCTCACAATCTTTCCCAAACACCCCATAGTTTGTCCCCATAAAAGAGGAACATACTTTGGGAAACACCCAGCTCAATCCGAATTTCTCCAAGGCTTTGAACCACAATTTCATTTCCCTGGGCAGTAAAAAAAATATAATCCACACTTTCACTAGTTTTCCAACACAAAATGCACCAATGTGAAGAATGACAAAAATTTGGTCTTCTTCTTTGCGACACGTGACAAGTATTAATCTTTCCAAGAGCCACTGTCCAAGGAAAAACCTGCACTTTAGAAGGTACTTTAGCCACTCCGATCAATAAAGACAGGCTGAATTAAAGACAACAAAGATACAAGTTTTGATTTGTCCCTTTCATAAAATGCCCTAAAGAAATTAAAATTCCACCCCCCAGGAGATGAAATGACTCAATAGATTCTTGAAATGGAATCATCTTGAGACCTAGATAATCTAAAAAGGCGACGATAAGACAAAGAAAGAGGAGAATCCCCAATCCATCTATATTTCCAAAACCGAGTCACATTCTCACGTGGTATATGAGAGTCACTTGTGTTTCTCACTCTTGTTAACTAAGGAAATTCTCCTCTCAAGTGATTTTCCTATTAGATTTTACTGTAAACATTAAGATGGTCACGTTCTAATTTTTCATTATTGTTTTGACACACAATATATTATAGGTGGGTTAAACCATTGAGAATCCATTGTCTAATTATAAAATTTTTCGATCAACAACCATGATTTGTAAAAGTAGAGTTGTACAAAGTACCTCATAATCCTTTAATTTGGGCATATCAGTTTAGTGAGTTCTTTCGAAAATCCATGGGTCAACACCCGAGAAGCATAGATATAGATACGAGAAACGAGTACGATTTAATATGGATACAACGATATTGTGTAGCCAAACTAGATATGACCAGGATTTGCCCATAAAAGTATATTTTTTATTTTTATTGTTACCTCGTAACTTCAAAATTATAATTTTCAATAGATTCTTTGATAAAAATTCGAAAAATACCAGTTTCCACTTTTTGAAGAAGTATAGATTGTGTCATTATTGGAGATTAACAAAGTGATGTGATTAATTAAAGGAGTTAGAGCCATTATTTATGTAGTTGGTTTACTTTGAAATACTTATTGCAATATGCTCTTTTGACATTTGATGGTAAATAATACTCTTTCACAGTTGTATGAATTTTTTTATATGTGTTGCATTGTATGCAACTTTGAGAGGAAAGGGTAAAGATCAAAGCGATCAATTTCACATATTGTTTAGCAAATGCACTTCCATATCCAAAGTATATTCATTTTGGTTGTGTTTCCGATGTATCCTCATATTGTGTTTATTATTGGATACGTGTAATACATCTCCTATACGTATCCTTGAGTATTTGATAACTATTGTATCCCATACAGTATTTGATGCGGAAACGTTAGCTTTAAATTGTATCTGTCACGCCTAGAACCCGATTCCCTTGGGTTCGATGCACGAATTCAAAAACCATCTATTTCAATCCATGCGGAGCGCTAATACTTTCAATAATTGATAAATCCCCCAAATTTAAATTACAACTGACGTCAAATATTACATATTTTCTCAATAAAAATTACAATATTTAATTCTTCACTCATTCGAATCATCCTCAATTAACTAATACCTCGAGGTTAACCAGCATCGGAGGGGGTAAATGGGGGGTGAACTTGGGAGGCTCTGTAAGTAATTTAAAACAAAATATATGGAGTTTAGGGTCAAACGATAATCCAACAATCCACCGCATAATTAACAAATAAAATGAGCATTTAGCACAGATCCCTTTATAAAATCATACAAAACCCAACGATTCAATCTTTCAAATTACTCATGGCTTCATACTTGGTTCATATTGGCTACATGCTAGGTGCTACTCAGTACATCCCATTCTAAAACACACCCGTTAACGACATCTCAAACCATATTTATGTCACCGAATATGCCTGACATGTGCCAATAGGTCACAAGCATTCCACCCGAAAAATATTTTTCACACAACAAATACAAAGACATATCAAACGAAAGCCCTAACAAACATCGATAATCAACGGTTAAACAATGACTCAGAATACAATGATGATAGCAATAAAATGACTCTTTATAAAAAGATTTACGAATGTTGGCATATTATAAGGTAAACCACTTACATGAATTTGATCCAGACTAATACCATGACTAGCATTCTTAGTTGATCTTGGTTCCCTTGTTGACTTCAATAGTAATGAACTCTAAAACATACCACCATTGTTAAATTCCCTAACAATGGACCCCAACAATCCTTGGTCTATAATAGTAGACTATCTCTCTCTCTCTCCCTTTTGTTATTTTTTTGTCCTTCCTCTATTTTGATAGCCTACATACACATGAATAGGAGAAACCCCAGATGCACCACCTCACACATTTGTTAATTGCACTGGCACCATTTTCTTAACAAAAAATCATAATTTGACCCAAACTTTGAATTAAATATATTTCTTTTTTGCGGGTTATCACATTCTCTACCCGTTAAAAAATTTTTGGTCCTTCTTGAAATTCCTTATATGCAGATTGTTCCAATATGCTGAAAATCTCTCCACAGTGCATTCATATTGAAACATAATTTAATTTTTACTCATGTTCTAATATCAAGTTCCTTTGGTTGTATTCTAAGCACTAACCTAAGATAGTCAAAAAAATCAAATCCTTGCAGATTAAAGCCCAATAGGTTTTGTTTTAATTTATTTTATTTTGGTACACGATATCATATTCTTTTCTCTTGTTTTTTTCTTTGTATCCTTGAAATTTACAAGTTGAGCATTCATCTTTTTTGTACTTTAAAAAAAATGTTTCTACTGTACATTATGATTATGAGTTTTCTTTTCCTGCTCGACTTATTAGCATGCACATATACGTACCCACATATATAGCTAAAAGAATATCATTCCCACCATACCCACTTATTAATCTCAGTGTCTAAGAGTCAACACATGTTTCACCAAACTGGTCAGTTGTTTGGTCTCTTTTATATTCTACTCTAAAATGACTGGGCTTGGTCACTCATACACTTCAAAACTTACTGCAATCAGGATTAAGAATTCTTTGGCCTACCATGAAAATCTAGATTTTTTTAGAAACCTGCCATATTCATGTTGTTCTAATTAAACTTATTATTGTCCAATCCCATCTCATAGTCATTCTCAAATCAAGCTAGCCCACTTCTCTAAGCTTGGATACCATTCTATCACACCCCGAACTCGATTCCCTTGGGTCCAGTGCACGCACTCAAAACCCATCAATTTCAATCCATAAAGAGCACTAATACTTCAAATAATTGATAAATCTCCCAAATTTAAATATCAATTGACGTCAAATATTACATATTTCTTCAATAAAAATTACAATATTTAATTCTTCACTCGTTCAAATCATCCTCTATCGACTTATACTCTGAAGTCAATTATATCTGAGGCGGTAAATGGGGGTGAGCTTGGGAGATCTAGTAAGTAATTTAAAACACAATATGCAAAGTCATAAGGTCAAACGATAATCCAACAATCAATCACAAAATCATCAAATAAAATGTGTATTTAGCACAAATCCCTTCATAAAATCATATAAAACCTAATGATTCAATCTTTTAAATCACTCATGGCTTCATACTTGGTTTATCTCAGCTACATGTTAGGCATTACACAGTACATCCTATTTTAATACGCTTCTTTGGGCCACATTTACATCTCAAACCATATCTGTGTCATCGAATACGCATGACGCATGTGCTAATAGGTCCCAATCATTCCACGTTCTTACCAACAAAATATTTTTCACACAACCAATACAAAGACACATCAAACAGAGGCCTGGATGAATATCAATAATTAACTGTTAAACAATAGACCAGACTACAATGACGATAACAGTAAAAGGACTCTTTGGAAAGAGGTTTACGAATAGAGCATATTATGAGATAAACCACTTACATGAGTTTCAATCCATATGAATACCATTACCAGCATTCTCAATTGATCTTGGTTCCACTGTTGACTTCAATAGTAATGAACACTTAAACATACCACCACTGCTAAATTCCATAACAATGGACCCTAACAATCCCTGGTCTATAACAGATGACTCTCTCTCTCTCTCTCTCTCCCTTTTTTTTTATTTTTTTGTTCTTATTCTATTTTGACAGCCTACATTCACATGAATATATACTAAGAGAAACCCTAGATGCACCGCCTCACACATTTGTTAATTGCACTAACAGCCTTTTCTTAACAAAAAATCATAATTTGACCCAACAATTGAATTATATATATATTTTCTGCAGGCTATCACACTTATTGCAGTTGTAGTTACAGTTTTTATCCTGTTTGTACCTAGCTGTATGTGATTGGCTTCTCATATAAACTATTGCTAGGCGAGAAAATAAGCTAGTTAATTAATGAGTGATGAAAGGATGCTTAGGAGAATCTAAACATTTTTGTGTACAATCATAAGATATCTCTACTCTAACTTGCTTTCTTATTCTGGGTAGTCCTCTTGAAGCGCCTTTTTTGATTGCTAATTTGATATGCAATAGGACTGAAACAGAATATGTTAGTCAGATGCTGACAAAGATCAAACGATTTGCTCAACATCACTCATGCCATGTTTGGTTTGTAGCACATCCAAGACAGGTTGGCAAATTTAAAACCTGTATTTTACTAGATACCTGTCATTCTTTTTAAACCTTAGATTTGTAACAGTTGCACCAGTGGATGGGGAGTCCGCCAAATTTATATGACATCAGTGGAAGTGCACACTTTATAAATAAATGTGACAATGGGATAGTTATTCATCGTAACAGGGATCCAGAGGCTGGCCCTATTGATCTAGTGCAGGTTCGATTTGTCTCCAGTTTTTGCATTTTACACATTCATTTGTGTAATGATTGGAGTATGATATTCTAATCTTCAAAAGTTTTGAACTGTCTTCGTCCAGATATGTGTGCGTAAGGTACGGAATAAGGTTGTAGGAACAATAGGTGACGCCTTCTTGTCATATAATAGGTACAACTTCTTATTCTTTGTTTTTTGAAGTGCTACTTTTATCACCATGGGGAAGATGACTTTTTTTTTGCTTTTCGTGAATCACATGGTGGTGAGTTTTTTTATATATATCAATGTGGTGATACTTTCTAGGGTTGTCAGTTGAAGCATGCCTCCTATGATATTTTGATGAAGTTTTCTAGTTCATTTAATTTACAAATACTTTTTGTTTGGGTTCTGCCCAATATTATTTTTGTTACTCCTTTTATTGGCTTGGAGGAGTTAGTAAAACAAAGGTGCAATTGGTTGTGCATTGGTAAAATCTCAAGCTGATAAGATGTCAGGTTTGGATACGGGTGCAACCACTTTTTGTAATACCCGGTTCACTCTTCCGACCATCTCTGATTTACTGTAACCAAACTTGGTACTTGGCCTTATTTTTCAAAGAATGGGAAAAAGTGAGAAGCATTCCAGAATGCTTGCCAATCTTCTTGTTGAATGTTTTGCTTCTTTCTATACTTTTTATGGCCAATCCATACATGAGTTAATGATTCAGATTTGCAAGAAATACTTAACTGAGAATAGCAAATCAAGCGTCCTTGTGGAGATGATGTAACTGACAGCTCGCCATATGTGCTTTCCCAGGACTACTGGTGAATTCATGGACATTGATGACTACCAAAAAGTAGTCGGACAAATTTCTGATGATAGCTCGCCAAAAAAGAACATACGTTAACTTACGGCTAGACTTACGAAGCCTTGCGAGTAGCGGCAATTCCTCTTATTTTAGCTATGTAACATGAAGGCTTGCCTTGTCTGAAGAGTCCTGCTGGCTGAAGTGAGCTGAATTTTGATTCCCTTTTGCTCCCTGAAAATACGAATGAGTAGGATAGGCTGGTAGTATGTAGCTCATAGTTGATAGTGTATCATGTTATATTTCATGGCCATTGAGCTTTAATTTTGTACGTTTTGCTTTCTTTTTGCTTGTTTTGAAATTGTTTTCTTGGTCTGTTCAAAAAAAAAAATTTGTTTTCTTGGGTTTCGGCTGTTATTTGTCTTGAACTGTTCTTATGTAAAATGGGGTTGAAGTCGTGATGTATGGCGTACTGGACTTTTCCCCAAACTTCCCCCAACCCCAACCCCACGCCACCACTCCACCCTAACAATTGAGCCGTGTTCCAAGTCTTATTATTTTGGATGTGTTGAGTACTAGTAAATTCTAACTCGATTTGTTCAATTAATTGCGTTTAATGATCTCAACCTACTTGTGTTATTTATTGTGTTTGCGAAATTCTTCTGTGAACTAGAAATTCAATAGTTACAGTTCTCTTTTGTCCTTTCCAAAACCATTCATTGGCTTTTCATAAAGTAAAATCCATCTTGCTTAGCTTGCAAAAACCCAGTGTAAAATTCTTTTGACATAACTAGATCAAGAAATGAAGAAGGAAAATATTCAAATTTTCATCATATTACATTAGCTAAAGGTAGTTGTTATGTCAAATTGGGATATTTTTGTTATAAATTGATCTGATACATTTGTTATTTATATATATTAGGGGAGCTCATGCGTTGGGTTTGCTCACATGTCTCATTACCTAGCTTGAAAAAATAGGTCCGAAGTGCGATAGTTGTCTTGTTTGAATTTGAGTTCAAGTTCAGTATCTTTCAAGAGAGGATCGGTGTTTACCCTTAGACCCCCATGCGTTGGGTTTGCTCATAGGTCTCATTACCTAGCTTGAAAAAACAGGTTTGACGGTCGATAGTTGTTTTGTTCGAATTCGAGTTCAAGTTCAATATCTTTTAAGAGAGGATCGGTGTTTACTCTCAAACCTATTCTGGTGATTTCTACGTTTACAGGTTCCCTCTCTTTGCCCAGTATGTCTGGTATCGTGGATGCTGAGTCATTGGCAGTTGAGGGGGTTAGTCGACTGTCTGACCCTAGTTCATTTGAATTGGGTAATAGAAGGCGGGAAGAAGTGTTGGTTCCTAATCTAGGTATTAAGAGGGGTTACCTGACCTAGGCCCTTGATGAGTCCAGTCTGGTGGATGTGAGTTTCAAATCCGATGACCAGGTCTCTCTTGAGTTGGGCTTGTGTCAGGCTATTGAAGTAGGGAGCCCCAAACGGAACAAAGCTAAACCAAGTCAGCCAAAGAAACCTTTTTCTAAAGGATCAGCCCAAGGCAATCCGGATCCCGTTTCTGATTTAGGGATTTCTTTAGATAATGCATGGATTGTTTCAAGCGTTGATCTGCAAATCAATAAACCTCAGAAGCTATCGAAGCAAGAAAACCGAAAATGGAAAAGAACATCGCCTGTTCCAATTAGGGAGGAGAACTGGGATATTCTAGGGATCACGGTTGGGGAAAATAGGAAAGAATTAGCTTCAGATGATTCTAATCCAGGGAAGAAGGTTCCTGTTT